TATATATACACACATATATATGTGTGTGTGTATATATATATGTTTATATATATATATATATATATATAAACATATACACATATATGATTCTTCCATATAAATAGATAAAGAGTTGCTTCATTCTTTTTAAAATTTTTTTGATACTGAGGATTCAACCCAAGGTCACTCAACCAAAGAGCCACATCCCCAGCCCTTTTTTAAATTTTTATTTAGAGACAGGGTCTCACTGAGTTGCTTAGGGCTTAAGTTGCTGGGGCTGGCTTTGAACTTGTGATCCTCCTGACTCAGCCTCCTGAGCCACTGGGATTACAGGCCTGTACTACTGCCTCCAGCTTGCTTTATTCTTTACAATGGCTACATTGTATTTCTTTATATGGTTAAAGAAATGTCTTTTCTCTGTTGCATAAATTCCTAGAAGGGTATACATTTTTAAATACTGCCAAATTACTCTATAGAATTTGAACTAATTTATAGTCCTAATATTAATATATTGAGATCTGTTTCCCTACAGTCTCACCAACATTATGTATTAAACTGCATCCCTGTCAATCTCATGGGTGAAAAATGGGATCTTCAAATTTGCATTTATTTTTTAAGACAGAGTTATACATGTTTTCATAAATTTACCAGCCATTTGTATTTTTGTGAACTGTCAGTGCATATCTTTTGTCTAGTGAGTTATGTCTTCATTTTATATTAAGGAAACATGGTATTGTTAAAGGGTCTTACAAATATTTCTTCCTTCTTTTTTTTTTCTCTTTTTATGGGTACCAGGGATTGACCTAGGAGCACTTAACTACTGAGTCACATCCCCAACCCTTTTTTGAGACAGGATCTTGCTAAATTGCTTAGGGCCCTCTAAATTGCTGAGGCTGACTTTGAACTTGAGGATCCTCCTGCCTCAGCTTCCTAAACTGCTGGGATTACAGGTATGTGCCACCATGCTTAGCTCCTTGCAAATATTTCTTCTCAAGTTTGTTATTTGTCTTTGATTTTGTTTTCATCATATGGAAATTTTAGATTTTTCTGTGGTCAAAGCAATCTTTTTCTTTTTTCACATGTGTATGTCATACTTAGGTCTTCCTCACTTTGAATTCAAATCTAACAAAAACATAAACAAAATCTAACCACTTATTTTAGGATCTGTTTCCTCTACTGTCTCAGTCTAAATTATTCTCTAAATAGAGGCAAGAATGGCTTCCACAGACACCTAGCATAAAATCCAAACTCTCTACCATGGTCTACCAGGAGCTGAGTACACAACTGGGCCCCTGCCTAATCTCATACACTGTTTCCCTCCCTCCCTACACACTGGCCACACCAGAATTTCTTCTGTTCTTTGAACCAACATGTACTTTCCAACCTTTGACTTTCACATACATATGCTCTTCTCACTGCTTGGAATGCTCTTCTTACAATAATGCCAAGGCTGTCCCATTTGTACCTTTTTTGGCCTCACCTCATTCATAACCTAGTTAGAGAGGCCTTTCTTGACCATCTTTTCTATGAAGACCTCATGTAATATCAGTCCTCTATTTCATTCATATAGCTTTCTAAAATCATTATTACTTGATTTTTCTGTTTACTAATTTTGTCATCCCATCCATGAGATCAGAGATCGGAAAGTCTCATCACTCTAGGGCTCAATAAAGAACCAGACACAAACTAGAGATGCAATAAATAGTGGCTGAATTAATTTTTTTAAGAATTCAATTTGAGGGCCGGGCACTATGGTGCACGCCTGTAATCCCAGCAGCTTGGGAGGCTGAGGCAGGAGGATCACAAGTTCAAAGCCAGCCTCATCAACTTAGTGAGGTCCTAAGCAACTCAGTGAAACCCTGTATCTAAACAAAATACAAAATTGGGCTGGGGATGTGGCTCAGTGGTTAAGCACCCCTGGGTTCAATCCCCAGTACTTAAAAAAAAAAAAGAATTCAGTTTAGTGAGAAAATTATAATCAAGGAGGTAAGTTCTTAAATGGAGGAATGTATAAAGTGAATTGACCACACAGAGGTAGGAATGCCAAAGTACGTCTGAGGTGGTCATGGAAGGCTTTACAAAGAGGTGATGTTCAACCTGATATTCCTGATAGAAAATGACATTTTAGTCAGAGGGAATACTGTATGTAAAGATGAAGCAGTATAGCAATTACAAATAGTCTAATATCATTAGAACTTTAAAAATCAAGGCTGTATTACCAATCATACACATTTCAGATTGTAAGATTATAATATGAACAATTATATGCCAGTAAAGTTAGATACCCTAGAAGAAACAGATTCTTACAATGAAAGACTGACACAAACTGTCAAAGCTCACTCAAGAAAAAATAGAAAACCTGAACAAACTATAACAAGAGGCTGAATTAGTAATAAAAAATCTTTTCTCAAAGAAAAGGCCAGAACCAGAGGCATAAGGTGAATTTTACTCAAAGTTCAAAAAATAATTCTATAAGGCTTCACATTTTTTTTGGGGGGGGGAGAAAAGGGAAGATGAGGGAACACTTCCCAATTCATTCTGTGATGTTAATTTTATACCAATATCAAACCCACACAAACATATGACAATAAAAAACTAGAGATATATCACTTAAGAATAGTCATACAGGCTGGGGCATAGCTCAGTGGTAGAGTGCTTGTCTAGCACCTGCAAGGCCCTGTGTTCAAACCCCAGCACCACCAAACAAGAAAAAAAAAAAAAAAGCAAAGAATATACATACAAATAAAAGTCCTCAAAAAATACTGGCAAAGTGAATCCAGGAGCATGTAGAAAAAATTGTGCAACGGGGCTGAGGATGTAACTCAGTGGTAGTGCACTTGCCTAGCATGTGCAAGGTCCTGGGTTCAATTGAAAAAAAAAAAAGAAAAAAGACAAGAAAAAACTGCAACACGGCCAACTGGAATTTCTCCCAGGAATATGAGAATGGATCAACATGCCAAAAAATAAATCAGTACAAGAATAGGGAGTTCACAAATAAACCCAGGTATTTATAGTCCTGATCTTCAACAAGGTTGACAAGACCACACAATGAAAAAAGGATTCTTTTTTCAACAATGGTGCTGGGAAAAGTGGATATCCACAGGCAAAAAAAAATGAAATCGGACCTTTATCTAACACCATTTATACATAAATTAACTCAACATGAATTAAAGGCTTAAATATAAGAC